ATGCATCTTTTATTAGATTTATTTCTTGTTCCTTGATCTCTACTATTTTTGTAAATTTTCTTCAATTACATTTTCTAGGTGTTTGCTGTTGGTATAAAGAAATGCAATTCACTTTTATGCATTAATGTTACATTTAGCCATCCTGCTAAACTCTTCTATTATCTCTAATAATTTGTTTTTTGGGCTTTTTTCAGGGAATAAGGGGGGGTTTCTATCAAAATTACTATATTATCTATAAATAATAACAATTTTATTTCTTCCTTTCTAATCATTTTGGCTTTAACTTATTTTTCTTGTCTCATTTCTTGGCTAAGACCTTCAGTAAAACCATTTGCAACTTTAAATGGAATGCTTCTACAATTTCCCCATTTAGGATGATATTTACTCCAGTTTTTTTTTTCTTTTACTTTTTTAGATTCTTTTTCAGGTAAGGAAGTTCTATTACTAATTAGTAAGTATCTTTATTATAAAAAATATTAAATTTTTTCAAATGATTTTCTGCCTCTATGGAGATGATTATGTTTACATTGTCCCTTTTAATAGATTGATTATACATAAATTATATTTATGAATTTTTCCAATATTAAATTATCCTTCCATTCTTGGGATAAGCCTAGTTGGTCATGATGTATTCTCTTTTATGTACTGTTGGGTTAAATACAGTATTATTTTGTTTAGAGTTTTTGCATCTATATTTATGAATGAAATGTGCCTTAATTTTTCTTTCTTGTAATGGCTTTGACTAGTATTAGTATTTGGGTTATGCTAGCTCAATGCAATAAGTTGGAAGTTTCTCTTTTTTTATTGTCTTGAAGAATTATGTAAAATTAAGATGATCTATTTTTTCAAATTTTGGTAGAATTGGCCTGTAAAACTATCTGGGCCTGGTATTTTCTTGTGAGAATATTTTTAACTATTGCTTCAGTTTAATATCTAAAAGACTATTCAGGTTATTTATTTCTTCTTGAGTTGGTTCTGATAACATATATTTTTTCAGAATTTCTTCATTTCAGCTTAAGTTTTCAAAATTGTTTCATATTGTTATTAGTAGACTCTTATTCTTTTTAAATTTATTTTATTTTTAGGTATATTCCTGACTCTTAGATTGCGTACTTGCATAGTTGTGTGAGGGTAGTTTTATATATTTTTAATAATCTATCATGCTTTGTTTTATACTTGCATTAGGGTAGAAACCCAGCTGATCTTATTTTGATTTCCAGCCACTTTCAGTCCTTCCTGTAAATTGACTTAAACTGAATCTTTCTGAAGCACTATTTTTATTATTTTATTTCCCTATGCAAAATCTCTTACTCTTAGGATAAATTCCTAATTGTTCGAGGCCAGTGATTTACAAGGAAAAGAACAACCCCCGCTATGACTGCAACCATACTAATACAAGCCAATGTGCTCACTGTCTTTTGAACATATTATGTAATCTTAATTTATTCCTTTGTTCAATCTCTTCTGACTTGTTAGGATGAATTTTCTTCTATGTTCTTCAGATCCTACCAAGTTTTCAAAGCCCTATGAAAATTTCACATTAAGAGAAACCTTTGAATTTCCAATCTAAAATGATTCCTTCCTTTACTATTTTAATTTTTAGTTGTTTGTCTGTTTTATGTGTATGTATTTCTTTCCAGATTCTTCATGAGCATGGCATTTATCTTATACTTTTTTTTTTAAAGTATCACTTTTCCTTTAGAAGCCACAGTTACATTCTCAACCTTTTTTCTTTGACTAGTAATATTAAATTTTTATTAGTTTATATTGTTATAGTTATGACTCAGTGAAGATTAACTGTAATTTACATATGCAGTACTTTAAGCTATTTTTGCATTATTACTCCAGGCATCTACTGTGTTCATTTGTATAAGGTATGAAAAGAAGTTATACCCTGTCAAAGGAATTCAAACCAAATTCGTACGGTTCTGGGCCGGCCCTACTTGGGACCCCCTACTTTAGCCTCGTTTCTTTTTTTTTTTTTTTTTTTTTTTTTTTTTTTTTTGAGACAGAGTCTCGCTTTGTTGCCCAGGCTAGAGTGAGTGCCGTGGCGTCAGCCTAGCTCACAGCAACCTCACACTCCTGGGCTCAAGCAATCCTGCTGCCTCAGCCTCCCGAGTAGCTGGGACTACAGGCATGCGCCACCATGCCCGGCTAATTTTATATGTATATTAGTTGGGCAATTAATTTCTTTCTATTTATAGTAGAGACGGGGTCTCGCTCTTGCTCAGGCTGGTTTCGAACTCCTGACCTCGAGCAATCCGCCCGCCTCAGCCTCCCAGAGTGCTAGGATTACAGGTGTGAGCCACCGCGCCCAGCTTAGCCTCGTTTCTATTATTGAACTCTACTACTTTATTTAAAAATGTATTAAAAGCCAGAATATAAAGTAGAACACTCAGGATAAATGAAAGATTTAAAAATTTGGGGACTACATAAATAATTTATAAAACTACAATAGATTTTTTTTGTGTGACAAGTTAAAGTTCTTTCAAATAGATGTTTATAAGGTGATTTTTATATGAGTTTTGTGAGGACAAGGACCACATCTTTCTTGTTCACTGTGTGTCTAGCATTTATCACAGTGTCTGGCACACAGTGGTTGTGTGGTAAATATTTGAATGAATGACTACACTGTTGTTTTTTGTTTTTGTTTTTGCTAATTTTGTGGTATTTATAGCATAACCACTTGGTGGCACTAAACTCATTTTTAAACTTGAAGGAGGGGATACTCTTATACCCACATACATTGTAATTACTATTCTTCACATACACACAAAATGAGGTATAATATATCACGGACAGTGTAAATTGTTATTGACATCAAAAGAGAAAATATCAGTAACTACAGGAGCTTTTTTTCTACTTCTTTTAAAAAAATTTCTAAAGTTGGCTCACGCCTGTAATCCTAGCACTGTGGGAGGCCAAGGTGGGCCGATTGCTCACGGTCAGGAGTTTGAGACCAGCCGGAGCAAGAGTGAGACCCCGTCTCTACTAAAAATAGAAATAAATTAATTGGCCAACTAAAAATATATAGAAAAAATTAGCCAGGCATGGTGGCACATGCCTGTAGTCCCAGCTACTCGGGAGGCTGAGGCAGGAGGATTGCTTGAGCCCAGGAGTTTGAGGTTGCTGTGAGCTAGGCTGACGCCACAGCACTCTAGCCAGGGCAACAGAGTGAGACCCTGTGTCAAAAAAAGAAAAAAAAAATTCCTAAAGTAATGGATTACACATTTGCAGTTCTTAGATCATAGAAATGTTTGATAGCATTCTCTACTATAGCCTTACCACCTAGTCCAGCATTGGGTAGATATTATATCTTTGATGTGTCATGATTTTGAAAGAATTTATGAATAAGTATAAATTGTAACTTCCTGTAACTTTACTTCTAGCACCCTTATCCTCAGGTAATTTCATCCCAGGCAATTTTGGCTCAAGATAAGGGAGCACTAAATATTATAAAGTTTTAGTCAATCACATATATGGAGTCTCCTTTAACCATTAAAATTTTTCACCCAAATTCAGCTCAAAATACATATTTATAGAAATCAGGAGCAATGGTAATTGGTTCTAAATTTCCTTCTTTGCCTAATTCATCAATATGAAACAATATTGAATGCAAAATACTAAAAAGAAGAATTACAAAAGTATACTGGTATCATATTTGTTGAGATTTGAGAGTAAGAGAGTATTCCTTAATGTAGAATGTAGTTTTATCGAGGAATTTCTTAAACATAGTGTAGTCAAAAATTCAAGAACTGGTATATGTTCATAAGACCTTAAAAGCCTCTAGCAACACAAAAGTAGAGGACTCTAAGAATTAAAGAGTCAAATTAAGAATCAAACAATTGAAATTTTTTCTTTTGAAATCAGGCAGGATAAAAATAATTTACTAAAATTTAAAATCATAAGCTAATTAGCATTATTGGAAAGTCTAATTAGAAAATGGTATTTAATTACAATATCGTAACAAAATACAGTAGTAGGACTAAGCTATATTTTAAGAATCACTTAACTCTGTGATTAAGCTTACTGATGTCAGCAGTGATCGTCTGAGGTTCTTTCCAGCTGTATGATCTAAACACTGTAGGTGCTATAGGGAGTATGGAAGAAACTGTTGTCCATAGTAGTTTATAATCTTACTGGAGAGACCACATATATACATACACAGAGTCAGCCTAGCATGGTGACCAAGTGCACAAATTCTAGAACCAGACTATCTGCCTCTTGCTTAGCTGTGTGCCCGTGGGCAAGTTACTTAACTTCTTTGTGCCTCAGTTTCTACAAATGTAAAATGAGGATAATAATATTACTCCTTCTTCATAGGTTGTTGAGAGGATTAAAAGAAATAATACATGTGAAGTGCCTAGAAAAGTACCTGGCACATAGTAAGTGCTATCTAAATGTTTTCTCCTCTGGCTAGAATGTAAGGTCCACATAATTTGTTAAATGAACAGTTAACTACTAGATGATAGCACTGTAAAGACTGTACATAACTGAGTGAAAAAGTATGTGGACAATATTACACCCCTTTTAGGAATTCAAATGAGAATAGAAACTAACATAAGTTGTTGCACAATTTCTCTAAAAGCCACAGAGGTGAGTTGAAGCTTGTGCTGGGTACTAAAATATGCGATGCATCTGGGTAGGTAGAGATGAGTTTAGAACGAAGTAAATAGGAGGGGAGGACAAGTTTTGTGGCCTAATCAGCTCTGTTTTAAATCAGGAAAGATTCGTCTTGTTACTCTTAACTGGATTGGTTTTCACTAATGTTACGAGTTCATTCAATTTATTTGGTTTCCTAGAATCTTCAACTCCAGAATTATAGCAAACTCCTGAAAATAGACTAGAATAGAAATTAAACATGTTTATTATGTTTGTGCTAAGATCATGTGAGGTAAAATTTGAAATCTATTAACTTAATTCATATTTTGGGGGTCATTGTCACCAGTTAAAAGCTTTTATAAAAAGTAAATTGATATCTTCACTTTTGTTTTTTATAGGTAATTAATAATGCTTGTGCTACTCAAGCCATAGTAAGTGTGTTATTGAACTGTACTCATCAAGATGTCCATTTAGGAGAGACGTTATCAGAATTTAAAGAATTTTCACAAAGTTTTGATGCAGCTGTGAGTACAGTCTTCTTATTATTCCTAAAATGTCCTGTTTGTGATAGTTCTTATTTTAATAGGCTACTTTAAAAAATTATTTTAGATGAAAGGTTTGGCACTGAGCAATTCGGATGTGATTCGACAAGTACACAACAGTTTTGCCAGGTAAAGAGACTTTATATTAAATAAATACTGTTTCTTTCTTTGCTTCTTTGTCTCACTATGTTTATCTTTACTATAGACAGCAAATGTTTGAGTTTGATGCAAAAACATCAGCAAAAGAAGAAGATGCTTTTCACTTTGTCAGTTATGTTCCTGTTAATGGAAGACTGTATGAATTAGATGGATTAAGAGAAGGACCAATTGATTTAGGTAATGCAGTTCCTATTCCTGGTATTTCACTTTTGACAAGGGAAAAAAGGCTGGGAATTTACCTTCATTGTAGCTACAGTGCTACTTAAATATTGAAGGAGAAACTGACCACAAGGTATTATAATATCATGAAGACCTTAAGCTCATTAGTACTTTATGAAATTAAATAACATATAGGAAGAACATATTGACTGCTATAGTTCAGTTGAGGCCTGTGATTTTTCTACGAAAATTTTTTTTTAACCCATAGGTTACATAATTTATTTTCCATTTAACTTTGAAAAACTACTCGTAGTGAACTTAAAAAGTTATTCTTGTCATTTTAACTTACTGATAAGTGATAGCAGATATTTCTTACCATCTGTATTAAAATAATTTCATTTGGAATTGGGTCATTCAGAATTACTTTAATTTATTGTTTGACAATGAACAAAATATTTGTTTTCAAAAGTTTTTATTTAGATAGTGCTTTAATGTGCTATCCTTTGTGCCAAAGGATAGATTTATCCTGATCTCACCTCATCTCTAACCATGAGCAAAAATGATAATAGTTATTGAGGTTGAGGGTATAATCTATGGTTCTGAAATATTACTGAAAAAAATAGGCCCACAAAAGAATTTTAACTCCTTATTTTGTCCTCATTAAATTTTCTTTTTCTTTTTTTTAAATTAGAACAAACTTTTTAGTTGAATCTGGTATTATATACTGTTTATAAAACTATGCTCTAATTTAAAAAATTTAACATATGTTCATTTTGTTGATAGTTTTTGCCATGACCCATGTATAGAACCAATAGTTTATCTAATGCAAATTTACATGTTCTATATTTTAAAATATTTATTTTTCTATGTTATAAAAATTAATAGAATGTTCTTTCAATTCTGTAGATGTTAGTTTTTTCTAGTTTGGTAGTTGATCTCATCTCTGCATTTGTTGGTTTCCATCCAGTCAGCCATTTTTTATTTATTAGAACTATCAAATAAATAACAAAGGAAAAGTAAAGGATATAATAGAACAGTCAGTTTTGCTATATATCTGGTGGCTATGCTATAACTTCTGATGAAAAAGAAGATTAAAACAACTGGGTAAAATTGGTTTTGCATTATGGGTGGATTTCAGTATTTTATATTACAGTTATTATTGTGGGGAGTCAGATGAGTTGAATCCTTATTTTGCCACTAACACGTGGGCTGGTTTTTCTTAGTTTTTAGTTTTGTTTTTGTTTTTTTGAGACATGGTCTTGCTTTGTTGCCCTGGCTAGAGTATAGTGGCGTAATCATAGCTCACTGCAACCTCAAACTCCTGGGCTCAAGTAGTCCTCCTGTCTCAGCCTCCCAGGTAGCTGGGACTACAGGTATGTACCACCACACCCAGCTAATTTTTCTATTTTTTGTGGAGTCTTGCTCTTGCTCAGGCTGGTCCTGAACTCATGACCTCAAGCAATCCTCCAATATTAGCCTCCCAAAGTGCTAGGATTGTAGGTAAGAGCCACTGCACCTGGCCAGCCTTCAGTTTTATCATCTGTAAAACACACAGCGTTGTGGGTTTAAATGAGATGACTCCTAATCGTGTGAGTTTAAATGAGGTAACTCTCTAATTCATTACTTTCTCAAACATTTTTTTAGTACCTGCTAAGTGACATAGTAATATGGTAGTGCAAATTATCAAATTATGATAATACTCTTTTCTTTAACCATTATTAAGAAAGTAAGAATTGAAGTTAACATTGTTCTGCATGGTTTTTACTATCCTTTATTTGCAAAAGTATTTGCAAAAAATATATTGGACCAAACTTTGAAATAATATTATAGTTAATATTTCTTATTTTTATTGGTTTTAACTGTTTTAAAATTTCTTCCTAGGTGCATGCAATCAAGATGACTGGATCAGTGCAGTAAGGCCAGTGATAGAAAAAAGAATACAAAAGTAAATGCTCACCTAATCTTGTTGGCATAACATTCTGGTTTTTAAGCATTTTTTAAAAATCTTTTATTATTTTACCAGTGTGTATTAAACATCCACTCTTGAGTGACTTAATGCATTCAGAAAATCTCTAAATTTCACATAGTAACATGTCATCTTATCGAGAGAAGTTAAACATGCAGCTCTCTGTCAAGTTAGATATTTTGTACTATTAGATATTTGTAACGGATATTTTGTAGAGTTTCGTTTTAAGGATTTTTTATATTAAATTAAACTTTATTTTGAGATAATTATATATACTCAGTTGTAAGCTATTAAACAGAGAGATCATATGTACTCTCTACCCTGTAACAATAGCATCATGCAAAACTATAGTATAATATCATAGCTGGAATATTTGCATTGATACAGTCAGGAGACAGCAAAATTTGGTCACCACAAGGATCCTTCATGTTGCCCTTTTATAGCCACAACCACTTCCCCCTCTTTCCATCTCTCCATTCTCCTCACTCCTTAATCCCAAGTTTTGTAATTTTTGACATTTAAAGGATGTTATGTAAATGGAATCATGTAATATGTAACCTTTTTGCATTTGTTTTTTTCACTCAGCATAATTCTCTGGAGATTCATCCAGGTTGATTTCAAGTATATCAATAGTTCATTCTTTTATTATTGATGGGTGGTATTCTATGGTATGGATACATCAATTTTTTTGCCTATTCACCCATTGAAGGACGTCTGGATTGTTTTGATTTTTTGGCAATTATGAATAAAGCTGCAATAAAATTTTTTATACAGATTTTTGTGAGAATGTATACGTTTTCATTTCTCTGGGATAAGTGCCCAGAAGTGTCATTGCTAGGTTGTAAGATAAATACATGTTTAGTTTTTTAAGAAACTACTAAACTCTTTTTCAGAGGCTGTACCATTTTACATTTCTACCAGCAATGTATGAGTGATCTAGTTTCTTTCCATCCTTGTTAGCATTTGATGTTATCACAATTTTTTATTTTAACCATTTTAAGAGGTATATAGTGATATTTCATTGTGATTTTAGTCTGCGTTTCTCTAATGACTACTGATGTTGAAAATCTTTTCTTGCCTTTTGCCTTTTTTCTGATTGGTTTATTTGCCTTTTGATTGTTGAGCCCTAAAGTTCTTTACATAGTCCTTCATCAGATACATTGCATGCATATATTTTCTCCCAGTCTGTAGCCCTTCCCCTCATGCCCTGAACGTGGTCTCTCACAGAGCTAAAGGTATTAATCTCTATGACGTTCAGTTTATCAGTATTTCCCACTATGAGTTGTGTTTTTGTTGTCAAGTCTAAGAATTCTTTATTTGGCCCTAGATCCCAAAGATTTTCTTGTGGGTTTTTTTTCCCTAAAAATTTATAGTTTAACATTTTGCATTTAAGCCTGTGATCTACTTTGAGTTAATTTTTTGTATGTGATGTGACATTTAGGTCAAGGTTCATTTTTTTGCTTATGCACATTCAACTGCTCTAGCACCAGTTGTTGAAGGCTATCCCTCTTTCACTGCATTGCTCCTATGACTTTGTAAAAAATCATTGGGCATATTTGTGTGGGTCTGTTTCTGGGTTCACTATTCTGTTCGTTGATCTATTTCCCATCCCTCTGTCAGTACTACAGAGTCTTGATTACCTGCTGTTAAGTCTTGAAATCAGGTAGACTGATGCCTCCCAATTTTTTCACATTTTTTCTAGCTATTGTAGTTCCTCTGCCTTCCCATATAAATTTTAGTATAATCTTCTATCTGTGAAAATCCTTACTGGGATTTTCATAGGAATTGTGTCAAACATTTATATCAATTTGAAAAGAACTGCTATCTTTTTTTTTTTTTTTTAATTCCTCTTGCCACCCTCCCCATTTGCTGGCAGAGAACTGCTATCTTTACTATACTGAGTTTTCCAATCTACAAACATGGTATGTCTGTTTACTTAGATCTTCTCTGATTTTCTTTCATGACCATTTTGTAGTTTCTAGCATGCAAGTCCTGTACGTGTTTTTGTTTGATCTGTACCCAAACATTTCATACTCTTTTGAGTGATATTGTAGATAATATTGTATTTTCATTTTTGATTTCCATGTGATGATTGCTAGTGTGTAGAAATACAATTGAATTTTTTTCTTCTTTATCTTGTATCCTTTGGCCTTCCTTGAACTCACCCACATTCCATGGCATTTTCTAAATGGACAGTCATGTCATTTGCAAAAAGGGAAAGTTTTGAATTTGTCCGTTTTCCTTTCAGTTTTATCAGTATTTGCTTTATGTATTTTCCAGTTCTGTTGTTTGATGCATGCATATTTATGATGGCTCTATTTCTTCTTGGTGGATTAACCTTTTTATCATTATGTAATGTCTCTCTCTATGGTAATTTTCTTTGCTGTGAAATTTAACTGATAGTAACATATAGCTACTCCTGCTTTTTTTTGCTTAATGCATGATATATTTTTTTCTATTCTTTTATTTTCAACTTACCTGTATTATATATGGAGTTTCTTATAGGCAGCATGTATTGAGTCATGTTTTTTAATTCACTCTGAGAATCTCTCTTTTATTTGGTGTATTTAGACCATTTAAATTAAAGGTATTGGGTTTATAAAATTACATATAAAATTAAATGTACATTTAATATAATTTTATGTGATGATTTTATTCTGCCATTTTGTCTTTTTCTCTTTGATTTCTATTTTTTTTCTTAATTTCTATTTTTTCCTTTTCCTGCTTTCCTGTGAATTCCTTGAACATTTTTCAGAATTCCATTTTTATTTATCTGTAGTGCTTTTTAGTGTATTTCTTTGTATGGCTTTTTCTTCTTTTTTGAGACAGAGTCTCACTCTCTTGCCTGGGCTAGAGTGTCCTGGTGTCAGTCTAGCTCACAGCAACCTCAAACTCCTGGGCTCAAGTGATCCTCCTGCCTCATTTTTCCCGGGTAGCTGGTACTACAGACACGTGCCATTGTGCCTGGCTAATTTTTTCTGTTTTTTGTTGTTTGGCTAATTTCTTTCTGTTTATAGTAGAGACAAGGTCTCACTCTTGCTCAGGCTAGTCTCGAACTCCTGAGCTCAAACGATCCACCCACCTCGGCCTTCCAGAGATCTAGGATTACAGGTGTTAGTCACTGCACAGGGCCTTTTTTTTTTTTTTTTTTTTTTTTTGAGACAGAGTCTTGCTCTGTTGTTCTGGGTAAAGTGCAGTGGCATCATCATAGCTCACTGCAGTCTCAAACTCCTGGCCTCAAGCAATCCCTCTGTCTCAACCTCCCAAGTATTGGGGTCTATAGACATGTACCATTACACCTTGCTAATTTTTCTATCTTTAGTAGAAACAGAGTCTCTCTCTTGCTCAGGCTGGTATTGAATTCCTAAGCTCAAGCAGTCCTCCCAGCTTGGCCTCCCAGAGTGGTTAAGATTACAGGCGTTAGCTGCTGCGCTGACCCTTTGTATGGCTTTTTAAAATGATTCTTTTATGTATATTTTCAGATCACATCAAATATTATTATAATTTCTGCTTCAATGATGAAATTATTTGAAAACAAATAATTTAGAAAATTTAAAGAGAAGGAAAACATATTGTATGTACCTATATTTTTACTCTTTCCATTGTTCTTCCTTCCTGATGTTCCAGGACTCCTTTTATCATTTCCTTTCTGTTTAGAAAACTTTAATTGGCCATTCTTTTAGCGTAGGTCCTCTGTAAATACATTCTTAGTTTTTCTTCATGTGAGAATGTCTTGATTTCCCTCTCATTCCTGAAGGATATTTTTACTGCACATAGAATTCTATGGGTTGACACTCTTTTCTTTCAGTACTGGAAAACTGTTAGGCCGCTACCTTCTGGCCTCTCTGGTTTCTGATGATAAATCTAATGTCAGTTGTATTGTTTTCCCCTGTATGCATAATGTTTCTCATCCTGCTGTCAATAATTTTTTTTTCATCTTTAGTTTTCAGAAGTTTGACTGTAATATATCTTGGTGTGAACTTTTAAAAGTTTATCCTGTTTGAGATTTACTCTGCTTCTTAAAATCATAAGTTTACATCCTGTCAAATTTGGGAAGTTTTCAGCTGCCATGTCTTAAAATACTTTTTCAACCTCAATAATTCTCCTCCTCTTCTTAGACTATAAGGATTTGAATGTTAGATCCTTGTTTTAGTCCCACAGATCCCTGAGGCTCTGTTGATTTTTTTTTTTCCCAGTCTGTTTTCTTGTCTCTCTGTTCAGATTGAGTAATTTCTGTTGTTCTATCTTCTAGTTCACTGGTTCTTTCCTCTCTCTCCTTCACTTTGATATTAAGCCCAACACTGAGGTTTTTAAATTTTGGTTATATATATTTCAACTGTAAAACTTCCATTTGGTTCTTCTTTATATCTTCTATTTCTTTTCTGAGACTTTAAATTTTTCACTCGTTTTTCAATGTATTTATATTTGTTTATTGAATCATTTTTATAGGCTCTTTAAAAATCTTTGTCAGATAATTCTAATATCTGCCATCTCACTATCAAGTGTCTTTTTTATTCATGTTGAGATTTTCATAGTTTTTAATACAATGCATGATTATTGCTGTAAACTTTGAATATTGTATAATAAGTCTCTGGATCTTATTTAACTTCTGTTTCAGCTGGCTTTTATGGGCACTGCTTCTGGCAGGGTATATTGGAGGCATTGCCTCCTGAGTGCCAGGTGTGGAAGTAGAAATCTAGGTTCCCTAGTAGACCTTCCCTGACATCTGAGGTGGAATGAGGTTCCTTTATTTCTGGGCAGTGGTGGGAGTTCCAACCCCCTCAGCAGGGTTTGTACTGATACCGCTCTGGCTGAGAAGGGTAGGAGTGCCTATTATTGCTCTCCACTGATCCTGAAGTGGTCTTGGCTTCCCATTTGGTGTCCTCTGATACCACAAATGGGTGTTGTCATTACCACCTAGTGGGGATGAATGTACTCAGCCTTTTTTAGTCCCAACCTAGGTACCTTGTTAAAGCCTGGTAAGGTTGGAAGTCTCCACTCCGTTTTTGTTTGTGTGGGTAATTACTGTCTAAAAGTTTTCTATTTTGTGAGGCTTCCCCCTTTCTGTTTGGCTAGAGATAGCAGACTTGTTGGGGCTTTCTATCTCTCCCTAATGATATTTCTGGGTTGCTGGTTTCTTCAGCTCCAAGTGTGGGATATATGAGACAGAAAGAGAACCCCAGGGAATTCACCATTGTTTCATTCTTAGGTCCTGAGTTCCCTAGCTTGTCCACCTTTTATCCACCCTTCAGAATTTTCTTTCTCTGTCTTAAAAATATTATATATAGGGTTTTTTAGTTGTATTTAGTGGGAGGATTAGGGACGTGGAACGTCTACAAGTAGCATTTAAAAAAAATTTTTACGTAGTTCAGAGCACCATTGTTATATTGGCCATATTCTTTTCAATGAATATAACTATGTATGAGAAACTTTGAGAGATGAATTAATGGAAAAATGTTCTTACATTTTCTATATATTTTCATCTTAAGTGCCACTAACAAATGCTATGGATAAATTTTTTAGTGTCAGTCCCAACCATGAATAAGCTTATGCTAAGAGGTGTTTCACTGGTATCAGAGTAGTGAAAATCAAACAGCATTCAGAAATTTTACTGTAGAATATAATTACATACTATATTAATAAAATATTATATAAATATGTTATATATTTATACATAAAATATAAATAAAAATTTAAAATATATTAATTAAAATAGAAACTATATCATGACTTGCAAACAAATTGAATAGTAAAGAGTATGGTTAATTGCCATCTACATGTTAATATAATTAATACAATTGTGGAGTCTCTTTTTCGGATATTTTAAGTAAATGAATTGCCATATTTCTTATAAAAGTAGGGAAATTGATAAAAATTATTTCAGATTTATTATTGTAGATGTTTTCAGTGAATTTAACATTATTTTAGAACATTTAAAAATATTTGTGATTGATTAAATTTAGCTAATTTTTTTGCTGTGGTTGTCTTTCATATATGAAAGCTTTTTTAAAGTATCAATTTTTATTATTAGCCAACTGATAGATTTTAATTTGCCCCAAAGAATCATGAGGTAATCACAATAGATCATCTTAATAGTAAGTTTCATAATTCTTTATTACATTATAAACTTTCAAATAACTTTCTTCTAGGTACAGCGAAGGGGAAATTCGATTTAACTTAATGGCCATTGTGTCTGACAGAAAAATGATATATGAACAGAAAATAGCAGAGTTACAGAAACAACTTGCAGAGGTTTGTAGCCATGTTTTTAATTATAAAGTACTAGCTTAATTATTTTCTCAGGAAAGTATTTACGTTTTTTTTTTTTTTTAACATAGATTTAATGAAGTATCCTGAGTGGAGGTTAAGAAAATATAATCTATAAGATTCAGTTACATTCAGGTTGCCTAGATTAAATTCCTGGCTTTGCCACTTAGTAGATATATGAACTTTAGTATATTTCTTTGTGCCTTGGTTTTTTCATGTACCATGAGGATAATAGTATTTATCTTATAAGGTTGTCATGAAGATTAAATGGGAAAATATATGTAAACCACTTAAAACAACGACTGACAAATGGTAAATGCTAAGTGTTAGTAATTATAATTTTTTTTTTTTTGAGACAGGGTTGAGCTAGAGTGCAGTGGCATCATCATAGCTCACCGCAACCTAAAACTCCTGGGCTCAAGAGATCCTCTTGCCTCAGTTTCCCAAATAGCTGAGACTACAGGCTCACACCAGCACACCTGGCTAATTTTTCTAGAGATAGGGTCTCACTCTTGCTCAGGCTAGTCTCTAATTCCTGGCCTCAAGCACTTCTCTCCTGCCTTAGCCTCCCAAAGTGCTATGATTACAGGTGTGAGCCACTGTGCCCAGTGGAATTATAATTATATTTTAACTATTTACTATGATTTTGTTACATAATTAAGCAAGCTAGAATGTATTTCTCAAAAAGTTAATTGGATACATTGAGATTCACATGTAATATTTCCTAGTCATTATGATTATCTTTCTGTGGTAAAGATGATTAGAGATTTAGTAACAAAGTCTTTTTTACAATCCTTTGATCACATTTTTATAAGTGTATATTTGAGAAAATTTATAGCTTAATAGGCAATTACAGCAACATGGTATATTACAGTATAGGTTATTTTTAAGTGAAAATTTGTATGTATTCTAGAATATAGAAATATGGAAGGCACTTTTTAGGGCTTTTGTCCTTTAATTGCTGTTGTTAGGCAGGTATTTGAAAATAATTGTACTATGTTTGTCATTTTAAAATATCCTGGACTTATGCCTCAATCATTAGGGTTGCTATTTCTTTTTCTTTCCTCTAAGGAGGAACCCATGGATACAGATCAGGGTAATAGTATGTTAAGTGCTATTCAGTCAGAAGTTGCCAAAAATCAGATGCTTATTGAAGAAGAAGTACAGAAATTAAAAAGATACAAGGTATGTTTTAAAAGCTGTGTTCTTTTAATGTTTTAATGTAGAGCAGTATATTTTGAGATAAAGGTATATTAAATGTTTGATTGCTTTCCTCTCGTTTGCTAGTTTTCCCTGTAATGTATTGATTCTCTGGCATTCTACCAAGATAAGTAGTGAGGTTTCTTTCTTTTTATTTTTGTGAAGTTTTATTAGAACAGATTTTTAACCTATTTGATATTTTACTTTATTGCAGTTACTATTCATATTGATGCTCAAATTATCTCATCTTTGGCCATTGGAGGCCATTTCAGGCTAACTCCTAAGTCCTTGGGACATAACCCTTTAAGTTTTTGATAGCTTCCTTGCTTTCTATTATGACAAGATGTTTCAGATTCATCGTGTACATTTCTTGCTTCAGACTTGGAATCAGCCATTTTTTTAGGAAGTCCTAGGTTCCCTCAGTGGGAAATGGTATTTGGAAACCACTATCTGGGTGCTCAGTGGTACTTAATTGGTGATTGTTTTTAGGTCTTTTCAGAGCCAAGAAATACAGTTTTTTTGTTTCTTGTTTTCTTTTTGAAGAGGAAATATATCGCAATTTCATATTAATACTCAAATAAAGGGCTTTATTCTTGAAGTTAAGAATTTACATTTCTTAAGCTGAAAATCTAGGTTTCCTAACATTAACTGCTTATTTGCTTTATGCCATGTATGTATAGTGTGTATATAATATGTGTGTGTGTGTATATATATATATAAAAGTATTCAGAATAATAGTACCAATACTATTAATAACAATTGAAAAGTTTTTTCTTAAATTTATTTTATTCCTTAGGATATATCCCATTTTGGATATATAATCAAATTACTACATTTTATTTTATTTTTAAATTGATTAATTAATTAATTCTTTTTTGAGATACAGTCTTGCTCTGTCACTCCAGTACAGTGCAGTGGCATCATCATAGCTCACTGTAATCTCAAACTCCTGGGCTCAAGTGATCCTCCTGCCTCAGCCTCCTGAATAGCTGGGACTACAGGTGTGTGCCTTGATGCTTGGCTAATTTTTCTATTTTTAATAGAGGCGGGGATCTTGCTCTTGCTTAGGCTACTCTCAAACTTCTGAGCCAAGCAATCCTTCCGCCTTGGCCTCCTAGAGTGCTGGGATTACAGGCATGATCTACTGCACCTGGCAAATTACTACATTTTAAATTTACCTAAATTTTTTTCTTCTTGATTTTGCTCTCAGATTTTTTAGGTCTTTAAAAAAACTCTGATTTAATTTTATTTAATTAAATCAAACATTTATATAATTCAGAGTTAAATATGAAAGCAAGATTATCTTTAATAATAATATTATTCACTTTTCACTTGCAATCGTCCGGTAAGCTTTTTTCACATACTCAGAAGGCTGAGGCAGGATGGTCACTTGAACCTAGGAGTTTGAGGTTGCAGTGAGCTATGATGAAATGATGCCACTGCTCTCTAGCCTGGGCAACAGAACAAGACCTATCTCCAAAAAAAAAAAACGGATTGTTTTTCATTTGAAGCCCAGTTGAAGGCAAGAATTGTCCTTTTTCTTTTTGTTGCTCACCACAGTGTCAGTATAGTGCTTTGCATTATACTTAACAGACAACAAATGATTGCTAAATAAAACAAATGGGCCTTGTAGGATTTCTTCAGGTGGAAATGGTAGGGACAGGCAGGTTCCAAAGTATTCCCGGCAAGAAAAATAACCGGCCAAGTTTATGGGGACAGGAAAGTGTGAAATGAAACCTTTAGCAGTTATTTTCCATTTCACATGATATTTTTTTAAAAAAACCCAAAGTGCCCATAATTTATATATTATTATGCAGAGTTATATAGTTAACTTTTAATATCTGCTTGAAATAAAATACAAACTAAGTTTTCAAAATGTTTGCTACATTGTTAGGGAATGCTTTGTTTAAAAAAATGTAAAATGGTCTTTCCTATTTAGGTCTTTAAAAAATAATAATAGTAAAATAAATAAAAAAGGTAAAATTCTCATACTGATATAAAAATAATCATGTGTTAAGATGTAATTTAATTAACTGAAGGAATCATATCACAACTAGTTCAAAGGAGAATTCAAAGTAGCTCAAACTTATATCAAAGTAAAGAACTGTTGAATGAATTTACAAAAGAGGGAAATTATTTTTTCCTATGGAAGAAGGGCAGTCAGTTAAACCTCTACCAGATAAAGTATATGATAGCTCAATAACAACAAAAACCTAGGAGTACCTAACTTGGGAGAGTGTCCTCTAGTTTTTTACTGAAGCACAAATTTTCTTCTTGCAGTCTATCTCCTTTTGATCAAAAATAATCTCAAAGATTATTCTTGATCACAAAATAGAGTTTGTCTCATTAGATTTGGCGTTATTATTTGCACGGGTGTAGTAGCAAGAATGTTGGATTTATCATGTAGGCCTTCATAAATTGCTTTTATAAGTTACATTTTCATAACTAATCCTAGATTGAACTTTTAAAAGCCTATATTTTTGGGAAACTAAATATAGAAAGCCATGCCCAAGAAACTCTCTCCACATGTTTTATTTTATTAGTCTTTATTCTCAGTGGGAATAGAATCTCATTTCTAAAAGTTTTTCTTATGAATATGGAGGATTTTATCTCATTTTTATTTTAATTTGGATGCAAAAAAATTTTTTTTAAATTTAGAAATGTTAGTGTGGTTTGATGACTTTTTTATTTTCAGATTGAGAATATCAGAAGGAAGCATAATTATCTGCCTTTCATTATGGAATTGTTAAAGACTTTAGCAGAACACCAGCAGTTAATACCACTAGTAGAAAAAGTAAGTATTTTATTAGCAAATACTTAAATTAAATTTAGATTCTCCAAAAACTTAAAATACTTGCAGGGGGATGGGGGAATGAATAGAGATAAAATTTGTTGAAGCTTTGATTTTTTATTCTTTTGTTTTTGCCCCTTGTTTTATATTCTATGAGAATTCAACTTGATACTACAAAATAAGAATAAAGAATTTTCCCACTTGCTTTAGCCTTCTAGAATTCTTAGTGTCAAGAACTCAGATTATGCTGTATTAAAATTTAAAATACTATTCTTTCTTTCAGCAGAAACAGGTTTTTAATGCTAATGATTGCAGTAATAGTTTTTTCCTATTTAGCAAAAATTCGAGTTGATGTAAAATTTAGAACTAGAATGGACATTGAAGGAGGAAAAAGAGTAGTCTGCACTAGGAAATAGGTTTTATTATTCCTAATCTAGTTTCCTTTCCACTGAGGGAAAATAAGCATAAGTTAGTGAAAAATTCTGATTTCTGTGATTTTTTTTCTTTAATAAGAGTAACTCAATATTTGTTCAGTAAATGAAATATAGTTAAATTGTTTTTAAGTTTCATACTGTAAATTAGTGTTTCTGAAAGTGACCATTGCTGGATACTCTTTAAAATACATGTTACCCGGCCCCCTCCAGATATTCTGATATAGGGGAAGGAATCTTTAATAAATGCCCCAACTGATTCTAATGCAACTGGTCTGTGTACATTTTGAGAAACACTTTGAGAAGACACTACTAGGCAAATAAAATTTTGGACCATTAACTTAAAGACCAGAATACGTGGTAGGTATATTTTTCTTATTAATTTTAAAGTTTACAAAGCAAAGGTACATTTCAGCCAAGCTATTTCATATTATAAATCCAAATCATATGAGTTGTGACTTAATTTTTTGCATATACTGTATTATTTGAACCATGTGACCCAACTTTTGGCATTAAATGCAAAAATTATTGCAGAAGACTGCTAAATATTCTTTTTTCCACCATAGGTTTTTCTATTTATGTATCTCAGCATATTCCAAGATGGGAAACTGATTTTTAAACTTTTAGATTAATAATTAGGATCTTGTGGTTTTCAAAATTGTTTGGTTAACAAGAGTACCTAGATGTGGTGGTGTTTGTATGAAACACTATGAAATATTTCTCTATTAAAAATTTTGAACAAAATAACTATATAATGTACTAAATAGTGATAATATCAGATTTTAAATATAGATACGTGTTGTTAAGGACACCTAGACAAATTTTAAGTGTATAAATTTTGCTTTAAAATTAGCCTGTAAATATAATTTTTGGTGAAAATTAGGAAAAGGGCCACTCTTGTTGATTTGTAATGATTTTATATCCCTAGATTATTTTTGAGAGCATAGTTAGAGAACAGCAGCTTTCAACTTTGCATTAGAACCTTAATTCCTTAGTTCACATTATTTTTGACACAAGGTGGCAGTATATGAATACCTAATGTTAGTGGAACACCAGCCCAGTTATTGTGTTTGCATTTATTTTCTTAAAGGATGTAATTATTGACCTTCTATTTTGCCTGTTTTTCCAAACTGTTCTTTAATTAGTATTGCATAACCAATGTTGAGATACATTTATTTCTTGTATATATGCAATACCTGTAATTCCCCTAGGTTCTGAAGCTAATTCAGAGTCATCATTTGGTTGGAATTCTTAAAATGTTTCTAATTATTCATCAAACATTTATCTAGCTGCAACTATATTCCAGGCAGTCTATTAAGGTCTAGGAACACATAATTAAGACATATTCTTTTCTCTTAAGCAACTCATGATATGGTTTGGAAAAGGAATAAATAATTATAATACTGTGATGAATAGTATTATTTCGATAAGTGCCAGAATGAAGTCATGCTAAAGATCCTGGGTCAGCACAGAATAGCTCCTAAATAGCTTTTTAGCCACTTAAAATTTCAGTCCATAAAATTTTAAACCTGTGGTTGGAATTAAATGCTTGACTTGGATCAAAATATCAACTTCCTTCATACAGATATTATTTTGTTCATCTTATTTTGAAAAAAAAATTGTACAGCATTAAAATATCACTTCTTGTTGATAAATGAAAATGTAAATGATAAGTGAAACAAAGCAGGTTAAAAATTATTAGAATAGATTAAGATTAGATTTTATTTATATTTTAATTATGTAAAATGCTCTACTAGTGATAGTTAATTACTCAATAGTAATACTTCTAAGAAAAAATACTTACAGAATTCAAAAATAGATCATTAAATTGGAATGATGGGTTTTTGGTGTTTTTTTTTTAAGGAAAAATAGGGTAAGAGAACAAAGGAACAAAGTGTTAAAGGGGTAAAAGGAACCAAACAGGAAAGATGTGGCTACCCTAAGACTGTCCAGGATCAGATTTTTGAGTAACAGAGGCAGTTGCCTATAGCCTATGATGGCATAATAGTATTTAAACTAAAATCTTTTCATTTTACAGAATGATTCATAAAGGGGTAAAGACTTTGATTCTTCCTTGGGCTTATGGCTATAATAATCATGGCTAAGATTTCATATTATACATGCTTTTATTCCTCCAGATGAGGCTTCTGTCCTTATCTGATGAGTTCATTGAGTATACATTACATAAAAACTGCTCAGGAGGTAACCTGAAAGTATACAGTTATAAAATTCCTTGTACTATATACCAAATCTATTCCTTAAAAAAATAAAATAAAATTACCTAGATTAATATTCCATTTGTGAAACTTCTGTTTATTCACATATAGTTATAATTCTTTAAACATTTTTTCTTAACCTTTATGTAATAACCTGTATGTAATTCTGAATCATTGTCTATCCCAAGTTTTTAACCACCAACCACCTACCATAATGTAACACAGATTCCCAGTTGCTATGGGAGACCCAAAGCAACTTCACGATACTGAATTTTGTGCACACTTTACTGACATTATGATATAATTGGTAATAAGTTACCAACCTTTAGAATTACTTTTTCTATCCCTTAATAAAAATAAGATAGGCCAGGTGCGGTGGCTCACGCCTGTAATCCTAGCACTCTGGGAGGCTGAGGCAGGCGGATTGCTCAAGGTCAGGAGTTCAGAGCGAGATCCTGTCTCTACTATAAATAGAAATTAATTGGCCAACTAATATATATAGAAAAAATTAGCCGGGCATGGTGGCGCATGCCTGTAGTCCCAGCTACTTGAGAGGCTGAGGCAGCAGGATTGCTTGAGCCCAGGAGTTGGAGGTTGCTGTGAGCTAGGCTGACGCCAGGGCACTCGCTCCAGCCTGGGCAACAAAGCAAGACTCTGTCTCAAAAAAAATAAAAAATTAAAAAAAAAAGATAGAAGAATAGTTAAAGCCAATCACAGTAATATTTACATTAATATCTGTTGTTATAGGATTATCTGATTTGATTCAGTAATTTTCAGTATGTCATTGGCACACTGTGTAGAAGGAAAATATTTTTAACAGTGTATTTTTTCTGTGCTATTTAGAAATATAATAGTATTTTTTATTTTTTAACAAAGGCAGAACAGATTGTAGGCTTTGAGTTTAAATATCAGATATGATGGCTGGGCATGGTGGCTCATGCCTGTAATCCTATCACTCTGGGAGGCTGAGGCGGGTGGATCTTTTGAGTTCAGGATTTCAAGGTCATCCTGAGCAAGAGTGAGACCCCTGCCTTTCCAAAAAAAAAAAGAAAGAAATTAGCAGGACAACTGAAAAAAAATATATATATATAAATTAGCTGGGCATGGTGGCGCATACCTGTAGTCCCAGCTATTCGGGAGGCTGAGGCAGTAGGGTCGCTTGAGCTCAGGAGTTTGAAGTTGCTGTGAGCTAGGCTGATGCCATGGTACTCTAGCCCTGGGCAACAGACACTCTTAAAAAAAAAAAAAAAAATGTCTGATATGTTATGTATTAGCAGTGCTTTTAGGCAATTATTTACTTATAGCATCTATTTCTCATTCTGAAATTGGGAATTATACCTATTTCACCATCTTGAGGATTCAATAAAATCATATATATAAAGTATACAATATGTGCTCAATTAATGGTAGTAATTATTTTTAATTTATTTTACATACCCCTTAATTTTATTTGAATTTTACAATTTTATAAATGTATGTATACTCTCTGCATTACATGTCTTTGTTCATTTAATTATGTTGTAAGGTTTATATCACAAACCAGTAAATTCATTTCTTGTTAATCCAGTAAAGATTCTGTTAAGTATATTGAGAGATCAATAAGGAAAGAAGTACATACATACTTTTAAATTATGCCTAAAACTGAATTGTGTTTTCATTATTCGAAAACAAAACTTTGTATGAGATATGGTATAGATATCTCATGTATTACAAATTACAAATTTAGAAAATTACAAATTATGCTTAACTGTAAATGTTCATGTAATTTTATTATGTTTTATATGATATATAACCTATTTGCTCTTAATAGATTAATTGTAGGTTATAGCACTCAATTTTATCATACTGTTGCATGATACTTATACTACCTAGTACATTATTAAAAAGATTGTAATTTTTCTAATTACTCTATTTTTTATCTAAGGAAGTTTTTAAAAAGTTGTATAATAGCAAAAGTCTAATTTATTGGTTTCTTTCTAATTCAAGTGGCACAGTGGAAAGAACATTGTATTCTAGTACTCTAAAATCTTGCTTTTAAAAGTATTATCTGGAAAAGGACATAACCATCAAGTGCAATATGTGGACAATCCAATTATAAGACAACCCTTTTGAGACAGTTGGGAACATTTCAATACTGACTGGCTAAAAGATGGTATTAAATAATTGCCTAGGCTGGGCGCAGTGGCTCACGCCTGTAATCCTAGCACTCTGGAAGGCCAAGGCGGGCGGATTGCTCGAGGTCAGGAGTTCGAAACCAGCCTGAGCAAGAGTGAGACCCCGTCTCTACTATAAATAGAAAGAAATGAATTGGCCAACTAATATATATAGAAAAAATTAGCCAGGCATGATGGTGCATGCCTGTAGTCCCAGCTGCTCGGGAGGCTGAGTCAGAAGGATTGCTTGAGCCCAGGAGTCTGAGGTTGCTGTAAGCTAGCCTGGGCAACAAAGCGAGACTCTGCATGCATGCATGCATGCATACATACATACATACATACATACATACATACATACATAAAGTGCCTATGTTGTTAATTTATTAAGCGTGAGAATGGTATTACAGTTTTGTAGGAAAATGTCTTTATACTTTAGAGGCTCATACAGAGTATTAATGGGTAAATGATATATTGCCGGAGATTTGCCTTAAAATATTACAGAAAGGAAAAGGGAAAAAAACAGAAGTATTAGGAAAAGTACTGCTAAATTAGTTGTTCCACTAAAATTAATAGTAAATTCTTTTGAAGTGGTTAGTTGTCTGCTTCCTAAGGTACTATTGGCACTAGGAAGTGGGTTTGGCTCAATTATTCTATGTTCTGTAGTTGTTTTTACTTAAAGAATGAACATTTTAGTTTCAGAGAAAGAGAGACAGAGACAGAGAGCAGGATAGAGAGAGAAACATATAAGTAAGAAATATTTGCTAAGTAATGGCTCAATCGGCAGACATCTAGAACAACTGGGGTATCCTGAGATCTTTCAAGTGATTCATGAGTTCAAAACTCTTTTCATAACAGTACTAAGGAGATGGAGCTGAGATGGGAAAGCTAAGGAGTAGTAGTCCAGGCATAGGGAACAGCATGTGCAAAAGCTTTACAGAGCACTGTGCCTGTGGAGGTCTCACTCAAAGTGGTTCTGTGTGACCGGAACACACAGTTCACAGTACATTGGTAGCTGATGGAGTGGTTTGTGGGAGGATTCCTTTGCCTTACAATTGTTCCTGGGCAGAGGGTTGAAGCCTTAAGACTTAGCTCCAGCCTTCTTACAATGAGGTGGGAACCTGTCAGGGTTTGGAAGCCTACCTACCTCAAGGTATCAGATTCTGAAAATTTTTTCTCTTGTCTTTCCATACACCTAAAAATACTGTTCTTAAAGATATGCAGTTTTGGCACAATAATAGTAATTATCCCAGTCCACCCTATAGAACACTTGTGAGTTTATAAATCTCTTCTTTACAGGCATTTGTGCATTTGTATTTGAGCCAATGAAGTAGACACAGTAGGCATTATTCACAGAGCAGGAAACTAAGGTTCTAAAACATTAAATATCTTGACCAGGGTCATCTAGCTAATGAGTGGCCAAGCCAGGATTTGAAGCTCAGCCTCCAGCCACCAAATCATTAAAAACAAAAAGTATTTTCTGAAGACCAGCAGAATTGGCATCACCTGAGAGTTTGTTAGAAATGCAGAACCTTAGGCATTGTACTGAATCAGTCTGCATTTTAACAGGGTGCCTGGGTCATTGGTGTGTACAATGTACATGAGAAGCAATACTGTGGAACATGTCTTTGAGCTTTATTGAGGTGTTACTATATGTATGAGCTGTGTGCATTGGTCAAGTTTGATAATATCTGTGAGCTCTGGCTTCTTCATCTGCTAAAGAATAAAATAGAATTACTGTGTGTTCAAGCTATCTAATTGTTATGAGGAGCAATTGAAATAACATGTGAGAACATTTTTTAGATCATATAGGAAAGGTTTACTGACACCACGGATACATAATCCTTTAGTGACATTATGTTAAACTCACTTAAACTTTTTGTTAAACTCATTTATTCAAATATGCAGAAGCTAATATAGGGTTTTTCTTATACTTATTTGAATAAGAACAAATATGTATGTATATTGCTTTGGAATACTCTTAATGAGTTTGACTTTATGGAATGAGTAAGTACATATTTTTAAATTATTACATTGTAATAATGCATTTCAATTTAATAAAAGGAATAACTGTAAACCAAACATGACCCTTGTTTATTTAGGGCAAAGAATAACTATATAATTATCCAGAAATAGTTTGTTGCAAGTCTCAGGCTATAAAATATAATGCTCTAGAAATCACAGAAACAGTGCATTTCAAGTCTTTTAGCTTGAGAATATACCATCTTAAGCACATTTTATTATTGTCTAACACAGACTTTTAAGATTTTGTAACATACTGTCTTTAATTTTTAGGCAAAAGAAAAACAGAATGCAAAGAAAGCTCAGGAATCTAAATGAAGAGGATCTTTTGGAATGTATACACATTTCTGCTTCTGCACTTAATTTCATGGAAACCATTAAGTATAAAGAACTTTGAGCAACATTCTAATTGGCTCAGTGCACGTTTGTCAATAGTACCAGTCTGTCTTGTCTTTAATGCATGGATTCATAAACTTTTTCCCTACCTGCATCATGTGCATGTAGTGCATATTAAATAAAAATGATATTAAGAGTGCTTGCCCAAATTCCATTATTTGACATTGGATCTGAGAACTGTTAGTTCTCTGGATAGCTACCGTAATGAACCTAGAAAATGCACTAATGATATTCTGTGCTGGTAATTATTCTAATTAATCTTTTGATCTTTTAGCCCAGTTAAATACTTAGAATTTATAAATATCAGATCTTGATTGAACTGAATGTTCTATTTCTTCCCATCATTAATGGAAAATTATCAGTGTTTTTATCTTTGATATTGTTTTAACACTGAATTTTATCTCCAACGCCAATTATTTGAGAAAACATGATTTTAATGCAGATCCTTTGAAATGGACAAAAATATAATTTCTAGTGATTTGTACTGCTGTCAGTAGAAAAGGCAATAAACATCCCAATTTTATTTTAGCAAACTTTCTATATTTATGTATTATAGAATTATTTTAGGAAGGTCTGCATTTTATGCTTTAGAGCAAAATTTCAGGTGAAGAACAAATTATACATCTTAAAGAGTATTGGTGTTACTCTTAATTTGGCCATGATTTTCAAACAAGCTTTGTCATTATGAAAAATTGAAAATTTGACAGTCAAAAATTGAAATTTTGACTATATGCTTTTAAAAAAAAGGATTGCAGTGGTAATGGAAGCACATTGAAAAATGTGCAAATTTGAACAAAATTAGTACAGGCAACCGTTTTTAAGAGCCATGTATAATTTTATTACCATGGATTTTTTTTTATTGCTTTTGGGAGTTGCTTTGGTTTTTGTTTTATAAAATAATACTGTATTCTTGCTTCTAATCTTCTTTTCCAAATTAAACTTTGAAGGAAATTTTATAAAACTTCTTTTTATAATGGAAATTATCTACTTTTTTCTTTACGAAGCACATTTCTGAAGTTATACATACCTTTTTTTTTTAACATTTTATCATTTATTGTAAAATAAATTTAACAGAATTCATTTTATTAGGAGGAGTATGTACTCACCTTCCATCTTCAACACATCAATTCTTGAGGATTGTTTTAAGCTTAGTAATTGTGATGTTATTAATTGACTTAGAACTAATGAGAGAAAACCTGATAAGATATTGAGTAGAAAAATTAATGAAATATTTTTCCTATATAAGTTCACTTGGAAGTAATAAAGAAGAATATGTAGTTTTTCAGTTATTTGTGGGTAAATATATTTTGCTCATGGTACAATAGTAATTATGTAGTGTTTTCAAAGCCATGATACAATTTTTAAAAATGTTTTCCTAAGGAAGATTCATCTTAATCCTATTCATTTATTTCAGCTTAATTTATATATCCTCTTTTATTGAGGCTTAAATTTTGTAAAACAATACAAGGATTATTGTAGTAAGTAGTATCTACTAGTCAATACATCGTACTAGCATAGGATCAACAAATAAATGAATGGAATAGAAGAGAGAGCCTAAAAACAGAGCCACATTTATATGATCACGTAACTTTTGACAAAGGTGTCAGCAATCTGATAGAGAAGGAAAGTCTATTCAACTAATGGAACCAGAATAGAATAGCTGAATATCCATCTGGAAAAAAATGAACAATGACCCCCTACTTCACAAAAATAAATTTGATATGGGTCATAGACCTAAATGTAATAGCTAAGAAGTATAAAGCTTTTTAGCAGAAAACATAAGTGAATATCTTTGTGACTTAAGGGGTTAGCCAAAAGGTTTCTTAGGTTGCAGAAAGCAATAACCATAAAAAATCCAAAATTAGAGTTCATCAAAATTGAAAACTTGTCACTGAAAGACACTGTTAACAAAAGTAACTAGTATCAAATGACATTTTAAAAATAGCTTTATAAAACTACTATGTTAATAGATAAAGGATTTTTTTCTTATTAATCTAATTCTAATGCAGTTCCTTGAATTTCCAAAGCTTAAGAATGGTTTATTTTATCTGCATCTTCTTTGGTGGTTGCAAATGCATTGTGATATTTCATGATTACTTCTGTCTGTGAATAAAAAAAGTGTGACTTATCTTTGTCTGCATCCTGTATATTGCTTAGTTTGAAACTAAGTCATGAAGCTGGTGGGCAGGGAAAATAGAAGACTAAAAGATCAATCCAGAAATAGATAATGTTAGTTATGTGGAACTTTTTTTAATAGTCCATGAATTAATATATAAGGAAGTTTTTTTAAGGAATATTTTAAAGAAAGTTTCTTGTTCATTTCATGTTTGCCCTTTCTTTTCTAAAATATCATTTAATGATTGGATAGGTGAATGCACTTCCATTCTGTTTTATGCCTTTTAAAATAGCCAATTCCAAGGGATGTACTTCTGCTATTACAAAGAAAGCTTGCCAACAGCTGTGGCACTGGCTAGTCTCACCTCGTATGTTTAGTTCTCAAGATAGCTGCCTTTTTTCTAACAGAGCAGGCAGCTTGACTGTGCCACTAGAATAGACAAATATTTGTTTTGGGATCATGACCATGGGAGCTTACTCCCCTATTTAGGACCATGATACGTACTTCTGTGTGTATTATGTTGTTATGTATGCAGATTGATACCTTTAGTTAATCATCCTAGTTGCCTATAAAATTTCAAGATACATTTATATATATATATATATGTATGTATATATATATATATTTTTTTTTTCCCAGTAGGAAGATGTTGTTTCTTTTGTTTGGGAGAAAAAAATGACTTTTAACGTATTTTACAAAAACATTTAGAAAAAAACAGATAAGCAATACTAAAATTTAAATTACCTATAGTTCTACCAAGAGAAATGTCAATATTAACATTTTGGTATGTTTAGTAATCCTTTTTTCTCTTGTGGACACATATGTTTTTGTGTGTAAGTCTTGCATGCCCTCCCTATACTCTGAAATAGCTTTATGTGGTTTATATTATTTTTAAACTTGATAAAAAATTAAACAATTCTTTGTTTTGTATCAGTGATGACTTACTTTGTAGGAAACAAAGCACTCTTAGCTATTTGAAGAGGATCGGGGATTAATACTGGGAATTTTGAAACTACATAATTTCTTACAAAGTCATTGGAAAGTTTGGAAGAGTGGGCTGAAGTTGAATCTTCAGAAATGATTCCCAGCAAAACATATAGTACTGGCCCACCACAGTACTACCTCTGCAACAGTAAAAGAGTCCACCATTGGAACTACTGATGTTAGAAAATGTGGTAGTATTTGTGTTCCAGGAGTGAGGAATCTGCCACAACTGTTGATATCCCAGTGATTGTGTTAGAGAAGGAGATTAGGAGACAGGGCTGAGACCAGATGCAGGGGCTTGCAAAGTGGGTGCAGGTATTAAGGTCTAACTAAGGGGGGTGATAACCACAGACAGGAACCAGCTTCAACCAGCTTGTCAGCCATCTAGGTCACCTTACATGAATTTTGGCTAATTGCAATATTATTTGCATTATGGTTTTAAAATTTCTTCCATGACGGTTCCAAAACAAATTATATAAAGTATAAAAATGAGAGGGAACCCAATCCTAGGAATTACTACCCAAGTTCTTAGTAAAAACCAACCTCTTAGCCTTGAATATCCCTCCCTTCAATTACTGAGACTTCATAAACCCCAAAACCCCTTCCTTTCAGGGTAGCTACTCTTTTCGAGCCTGCTCACTCCTTTTCTCTAGAGAGAGTGCGCTTTCACTTTTGCTGTTAGTAAAAGCTACTTGCTCTGTCTTATGTGGTGTGTCCTGAAATCTTTTCTGTGATGCTCACCAAGAATCTGAAAAATACTTCCATTTGGAGGACAATGATAATTGTATACTAGAATGCAGAAAAATGTAACCTCTCATACCTAAAATGGGAAAACTGGATAGTTTGATTTTTAGAGTAAGATTTCATTTTTTCCTATGGTCCCAGCTACTCAGAAACCTGAGGCAAGAGCATCACTTGAGCCCAGGAGTTTGAGGTTGCAGTGAGCTATGCTGGCATCACGGCACTCTAGATGGGGCAACAGAGTGAGACCCTGTTTCCAAAACAAAGATTTCATTTTTTTAAAGTAGTGTGAATTACTAGATTAGTCAAACATGCATTTTATTTAATTTATTCTTTTAATACATTGTTAGCTGGCCTACACCCAATGAATGACAGAGTAAAGATTCACCACTTCTAGTATACTGGGTACTTTTTTTTTTTTTACTTAACTATAAAGTACTTTTTGAAAACAATTCAGTGATTTATTCAACCTGTATCTGAGTTGTTCTAGATGCTGGAGATGTAGTATAACAAGATCAAGCCTCTGCCCTTATGGTAAGACTGATAATAAACTGATGTATTACATAATTTTTCAAGTGGTAGTAAGAATTGTAAAAAATAAAGCAGGGCAAAAGGATGGGGGAGCTGAGGTGTGATAGGATGGTCCTGGAAGATCCCATTAAGAAGATGATGTTTGGCCTGGCGCAGTGGCTCACGCCTGTAATCCTAGCTCTCTGGAAGGGCGAGGCGGGTGGATCGTTTGAGCTCAGGAGTTCAAGACCAGCCTGAGCAAGAGCGAGACCCCGTCTCTACTAAAAATAAAAAAAATAAAAAAGTTAATTGGCCAACTGAAAATGGAAAAAAAAAATTTAAAAAATTTAAAAAAAAAGATAATGTTTAAGCAGAGACCTAAATGAAGAGAATTTTTTTCTCTGTAGTACTGATTCAGCACTTTAAAAGTAGAATGCATACAGGCAGAACCAACTTGCAATAATTCAGAATATTAGTTTCCAATGATGTTTGATGATTAAATGGTTTATGAAAGTTGATCTGGAGTGTCAATATAAAAATAGGTTGACTGGCTGGGCATGGTGGCTCACGCCTGTAATCCTAGCACTCTGGGAGGCCGAGTCGGGCAGATTGCTCGAGGTCAGGAGTTCGAAACCAGCCTGAGCGAGACCCCATCTCTACTAAAAATAGAAAGAAATTAATTGACCAACTAAAAGTATTTATAAAAAATTAGCCGGGCATGGTGGCGCATGCCTGTAGTCCCAGCTACTCGGGAGGCTGAGGCAGTAGGATCGCTTGAGCCCAGGAGATTGAGGTTGCTGTGAGCTAGGCTGATGCCACAGCACTCACTCTAGCCTGGGCAACAAAGTGAGACTCTGTCTCAAAAAA